TAAGGTAAGAGCTTTCTAAAATTGCTTCTCTGTCTCTCTCTCTCTCTGTCTCTCTCTGTCTCTCTCTGTCTCTCTCTCTCTCTCTCTCTCTCTCTCTCTCTCTGTGTGTGTGTGTGTGTGTGTGTGTGTCTGGCTGTGTGTCTCTCCCCTCTCTCTAATTATATTCACTCATATAGATAATTACATGCACACAAACATATTATTCATAAACAAATGTAGATGTGTGTACTTCCATTCTAGTATATAAAGGTGTTTGTGGATTAAATGAAGTTTAATGAACTTCAGTAATATATTGATCAGATAGTGCCCAACATATTATTCCTGAAAGTTTGAGCGCACACATCAGAATTTAAACTGTTCCCATTGCTCAGTGGCATAATAGATAATCATTAGTTCCGCCCTTGTTAGTAAAATTCTCTCCCTCCAACAAGGTTTGAGTTTTCCTTGTTCCACTTTTTCTAGAAGATTTAGTTTCAATGATATGTTGTTTATTTGAGCAGCTGTAAGTTTCCTTTTTTTTTTTTTTTGTACCAAGGATTGAACTCACAACCTTGCACTTGCCAGGCAGGCACTAACTAAATTTGTTTCCTACGATTGCTTTCATTGCATCCCATCAGTCCTGTTTGTTATTTCAGCATTATTTTAGATACTGTTTGATTTATGCTTTAATTTAATCTGTGACCTAGCAAGGTGTTATTTATTTTCCATGTGATTATGTAGTTTTGTGGTTTGATTTTTGCTGTTGATTTCTATTTTCATGGCAATATGGTCAGATAATATGCATGGGATAATTTCAGTTCCTCAAACAAGTTTTATGGGTAATGTGTGGTCCATTTTAGAGAATGTCCCATGTGCTGGTGAGCAGAATTTGTACTCCAATGTTATTGGTTGAAGCACTCTATAGACATTTACTAAGTCTATTTGTTCACAGGTTTGATTTATTTCCAAAAATTATTAGTTGACATTTTTTGTCTAGTTGATATTTCTGTGTTTTAGTCAGGATTGATAAGGGAATACATTTAATAGAGGACATATAATTTGTGAAATTATTTTATACTATTCACCAAAGAAGTCAAATACCTAAGTATGCAAGACTTCTGTCCATATGCTTGAGGTCCCAAGAATGTATCTCCACGAATGCAGTTGGAAACCTCACAGCCACAACAATGTTTAATGTAATAATGTATTAAGGATCTGTGCTAGGAAGGCCCAAAGATCGGTGGTGGAAGCTAAAATATCTATACCAGTGGAATAAGAGATCTATACAACAAGCCTGTGCTACTTGCGTGGGAGCCAGGGGCAACATTTGAGGAAAGAATAAGTGCTCCAGGAAAATGAACAGCAAACCATCTTACCATCCAGTTTTCCTTTTATGATGTTGGTAACAATCCTTAGGTGGACCTTCCACCATCAGAACTATGAAAACTAAGTTCAGCCTGGTGTTACAAGTTGACCATCAGTTAACCCACCACAGTGTATTTCTGATATTGGCATATTAAAGTTCCCCATTACATTGTGTTAGTGCTTGTTTTATTTTCATGTTATGTTTTAGATAATTGGGTGCACCAATATTTGGTGCATCTATACTTAAAATTATTTTTTCTTCTTGGATTTTCCCCTAAACAGTTATTTAATACTATTCTTTGTTCGCTTTGGATCAGTCTTGGCTTGAAGTTTACATTGTCTGCAAATAGAATAGCTCCCCCCACTTTTTTATTGGTTCCTGTAACATGAAGTATTTGTTTTCCATCCTTTGACTTTCAGCCTATGCATTCTTTTTGAGTTAAGTGTGTTTCTTGGACATATGGGATCTTATTGCAAGTCTTTTTCCATATTGGTGAATTGAGACCATTCACATTGATATGTACTGGTTTATCCTTGTCATATTGTTTTCCTGTTGTTGGTTTCCTGTCTTTGTTCTCTGTTTAGTTGCTTGCCTTGTCTGGTAGTTTCTTCCTGTTGATATTCTTAGACTTGTGATCTCGATTATCTCTTTCTTTCTTTTTTTATTTTGAAGGTAGTAAAATACAACAGAAAAAGATGGAACAAAGCTAATTGAGACAGTGTAGTGAAATTGGTACAGAACTTCACAGCAGGTTACCGGGATAACAGTAATAGGTATCACAGGATCTCATTATCATCACAATAGTTGTTCTTTCAATCACGTATAGCAAAATAAAATGAAATACAGAACATTATAGAACTTGTCAAAACAGAATATTGAATAGAGCTGTACCATTAATAAAACAAAACAGTACTGAAATATTTGCCTTTAAAGAGATAGTAGAAGGAAATCCCCCTTATTTGCTATATTGCATATGGTCAACCTCCCAAGAGATGTTCAGATCTCTGGTCCCCATTTGCTAATGGGGGCAGGCAAGGGAAGTGGGATGTTTGACTCTCAGCCCGTGCAGTGGTAGGCTCGCTTCCATTTAGTGGGGAGGCAGGCTGGTTGCTTGGTTTCCCAGCACCCTAAGTTCCAACATGGCATGGATCTCAGGAGACGCTGGTGGTTCTCCCCCTGGAGGGGCCCCAGCATACCACACCACTCACTTACCAAGAAGGCCAGATGGTTGCTTGGTTTCTCAGGGTCCTAAGTTCCAACATGGCATGGATCTCAGGAGACGCTGGTGGTTCTTGCCCTGGAGTGGCTGCAGCCTGCCACACCACAGCCACTTACCAGGGAGCTGAGCTGGTTGCTTGGTTTCCCAGCACCCTAAGTTCCAACATGGTGTGGATCTCAGGAGAGACTAGTGTTTCTCCCCCTGGAGGGGTCACAGCCTTGATTATCTCTTTCCATAATAATCTTTCAAAACATTTTGGAAAGCTCATTTGTGGTCATGAATTTGTTCAGTTTTTCTTTGTGAGGGAAGATTGATTCATTGATTCTAAAAGATAGTTTTTTGGGGATATCAATCTAGATTGGAGGTTGTTTTCTTCTAGGGATGAAATTCTTTTTTTTTTTTTTTTTTTGGTACCAGGGATCTAACTCATGACCTAGCACTTGCCAGGCAGGCACTTATGCCACTGAACTAAGTCTCCAGCCTAGGGATGAAATTCTTAACTTCCAGCTCTCCTTGACTTGAGTATTTGTGTTGAGAAGTCTGCGTGAATTGAATGAGTTTTAATGTTTGTTTTCTCTATGTTTAATGCTCTGTTCTTTCCTGAAATTCCTGTAATCTTGATTATTGTATGACTTGGTATAGGTTTATTTTGGTCATGGTTATTTGAATTCCCTTACTCATTTATATGTCAAGCTCTTTATCCTCTTTTGGAAGTTTTTTGCCATTATTTCTATGTCACTGAGCAAAAGTCACTTTTAGTGACTTTTGTGCTAATGGGCTTTCTGGAGGACAAAGAATGATCACAAAAGTTTTGGGCACCTGGAGAAAAGCAGAAGACAGAAAGAATGAAAGAAAATTTAAGGATATTAAAGAATGAAAGAAATTTTACAGGATATTAAAGTGAATCAGTAAGAAAAGATCAGTTTCATATCCACCACAAATCCTACTGCAACATTCAGGGGATGTTTCCAGGCCTTCATATTTAGGTCTAGGCTGCCACCAGAGTATAATATTGGTGGTTCCAACTCCTATCTCTCCTGCAGAACTGCTCCCAGGCTGTTTTCCATCTGCAAATTACACTGATCTTTTTCTCAGATAGTCCTATATTTTATGTAACTTCATCTTTTCCTTTTCATATGAAAATTTGCAAGTTAATATGGCAATTTCATCTTTTTCCTCTCAAATATGACTATGGCATTTTTTCTTTGCTATTTGAAAGAAAATCCAACAGCTTCTCTAGGCTCATAGATAATGAAATGTCTTCTGTTCATTTTCAGAAAATTTTCATTTTAATAATTTATTGTCTATACATATTGGTCTTTACATTCAACTTCTCTCTTACATGGTTTGGAATCTAGGAAAAAACAAAAAATCCCCAGGAAACAACCAGTCTGTCATTGTTCAAATTCTGAGGTCATTAGACAATCTGTTTGTTTTTCCCACCTTTTCAGATTCTTATGTCTAGGGTATATATTTATTGCCAAAAACTTAAGATGTTCTTAGCTTGATAGTATTTAAAAATGCTTTCTGCTCCATATTTATGTGTCCTCTTGATATTTCTCATTATCAGTCAACTTTTAGAAATGCTTGAGGTTTGAAAAACTACCATGTATTTCAATAAAAATATTTAATAATGACAGTTGACATTTTAAAATTATGTAAATACCATATTTTGCCTAAAAATCACCTGAGAAATAATTAACCAAAGTATTCAGCTTTATATTTTTTTAATTTTGCAGTTTGTGATTGTTAATGAAGATAGAGATTTCTTATTTAGTGAATATTCAGCCCATCTCTCCAATTCTATGCAGGGGTATTCTTGCCTGCCTTATATTTGTTGGACCTAATTAAGTGAATTGTGTTATTCAAAGGAACGCTTATGGATGCTGTTAGTGAATATGACATATTAGAAAATCTTCTTTGACATCTCAACCCAGAGTTATTCTCCAAAATTCAGACTTGTATTTACTTAATATCTCCACTTGGATATTGAAAAGTCATCTAAAAGTTAGCATGTTTAAAAAAAACTCTTAATTCCCACTTCCAAATGTACTCTTATGCAGATTTTCCTGATTCACTTGATAGATAGAGATATCAACTCCAACTTGATAACAGAACTTTATAATCCACAAAGTGAAATTTTTTGAAAAAGAAATAAGTAAGGACATTTTTTAAATCATGATTTTTGTCAATGATTTCGGAGATTTTTCCAAGATGTCAGTTGTTACACTGATTTTGACAATATGGCAATGATTCTCCTGTTACGAAGAGAAAGCACTGCCTGGACCAAGTATAATATAGATGACAATTAGTGATATGCAAAAAATTTACTAAGATAATGAGTAATTGAAATGCTACCATGTTGAGAATGGTAATATAAGATTTTAAATTAATTTTAATCAAACATTTAAAGCCAGTGTCTTTTCAAAAAAGACATGGAATAGAAAAAGGAATGAATGCAGAGAATGAACATGCTGATATGTTAGAAGGAAACAGGAGCAATTTAATCAACACTCATTTTCAAAATACATGCTATAGTCAGAGTTTGTAAGGAAATATATTTAATAGATGTGTAATTTATAAGATTAACTTTCAATATTAGCCCAAAAAGTCAAATACAGAAGAGTGCAAGAGCTCTCACTGTGGGCTAGATACCCAAGGAATACAGTCAAGGCCATGGATCCCATGTGAATGTCCAGCATGAGTTCAACTAAAGGCCTAATGCCTACAGCCACATTTCATGCAAGTACATATCAAAAATCTGCAATGGTAAGGTCCAACATTCATTGGTGGTATCCAGAAAGGCTGTGCTAGTGGGGTTAGGGATCTAAGCCTCAAGGCTGAGCAATCTGCACTGGAGTCAGGAAGCAAAGCTCAAGACAAACATGTGAGCTACCCTGAAGAGAGCTGTAACAAGCCCCACTGTGAGGACCACAAATATTCTGGGGAACTGTGTTGGATAGTAACTTAGAAAACTGAATGTGGTATGTGAGAATGTGGTGCATGATGATGAAATGACCACCTCAATAGCAATAGCTGAAACTTATCCTAACAGATTCATGTATTAATCATTTCCCCATTGCTGGAACTAAACACCCAACACTTAGAATTTAAAGGATAAGAAGTTTATTTGGTTCATGGTTTCAGAGGGTTTCAGAGGTCCATGGTTGGTTAGATTTAAGGCAGAAATGGTGTAGCAAAAGGGTATCCTTATTAAAAGCTGCTTATTCCATTGCAGCCGGGAACAGAGAGAGAAGGGAAAAGCCAGAGGCAAGAATACACCCTTATAGGTCATGTCTCCTGTGGCACACATCCAACAAAGCCACACCTCCAGTACATTCAGCTATGAACACATCAGTAGATTAATCTACTGGTCAGTATAGTACCCTCATGATCCAAACAAATTCAAAATGGTACACTTCTGGACATCTGAAACTTCTGATGAATATTCTGGGGTATATTTTAGATATAAACAATAACATTCTGTCCCTGGTCCCAATAAGGGTCATGTCCATTTCTTTTTTATTTGTTTCTTGCTTTTTTTTAATGGTACCTGGGATAGCAGTCACTATCTCTCATTTGCCAAACAGGCACTTAGAATGCTGAGCTAAACCCTTGGCTCAGAATTGCTAAATTCTTAATGATTCCAGCATTGCTAAAAAGTCCAACTCCAAAGTCTCCTCTGAGACTCAAAGCAAACTCTTTATCTCTGAACTCCTATGAAAATCAAAAAGAACATCAAACACTCCCAACACACAGTGGGACAGGGTAAATACTCTCTTTCCAAATAGAAAAATATGGGGATAGGAAGGAATTGTATAAAGCAAGACTAAAACATTAAATACTGCAGCTCTAAGTTGAGCAACCCGGTCAGGTTGTAGTGAGATATGTGTTCCAAAGGGCCCGGGAAGTCTGGCCTCCTCTGGATATGCTGGTTGAACCCACATGACTTTTCTCTTAGGTAGGTTCTGCTCAGTGCGTGTGGTTTATCTCAGCAAGCAGTCCACATTTCTGGCCTCAACTTCCTGGGTTTCTGCTGCAACTTTGGTTTGATGCTCTCAACTTTCTGCACTATTCTGTTAAGGGCTGTTTTAGTCTTTGAGGCTTTTTTCTGAAATCTTGGTGGAAATCTCAATAACTCCATGAATCTTGCACTCTACACACTTGCATAACCAACCCCATGTGGATGGTGTATGGTCTGCTGCCAGCTTACATAATAGGTGGGAGCCCATGCTGTATTTTCTCTGAGTGACTGGATGGCCAAACTGTGTGACTGAACTTGGGAAAAAATTTCTCTGTGCTGCCGACAATGAGCAGGATGCTGTGATGATATTTTATCAAAGCAAAGACTTTGAAAGGAGATTGTAGCTTTTATAACCTTGAAATTATGATGAGTGGAATTTGGCCATTTCCTGAAATTCCTTCAAGGGATCTATCCATTCTGATTGTCTGGAGGGCAAAATACCTGGTTTCTTTTAATATCTTCTTTGGCCCAAATTAACATATATTTCTTTTCCAGGCAAAATGCACAATTTTTAAATCCTTCATCTCTGCTTTTTACTCCTCTTTTTCCTTGGAAATCTGGTTAGAAGCAACTAGCATCATCTTTGCCATAGTCTAAATATTAGACTACATTGAAACTTCTTCAATCAGATAAATAGTGCATTGCTCTTAATTTCTATCTCCTGAAGTCTCAAAACATAGGCAAAACAAACACACATTCTTTGCCAGAATGTAACCCACTTGGCTTCTAGTCCAATTGTCAATGGAGTTCTGGTTCCCAAGAGGAACCTCCTAAACTTGCCCTTCACCATTCACGTTTCTGGCAGCATCCTCACCAGAATCACCATGAAAATCAGCTTTCAACATTCTAAGACTTTTCTAGTTGACATCTTCATAATTTTCTAAACTACTCCAGCAAATCAGTTTCAAAGCCTTGCAAGCTATGTGGACATATCCAGTTACAGTAACAACTCCACCCCTGGGCCATTCTAGTGTTCCTGGAAAAAAAAATAGCCAATACTTGCAAATATATTTATTGTGGCTCACAATTTAGTTCACTGTCAGCTGAAACTAGTTCACTCTGAAAAATCAAAGTGAAAGAAAACAGAAAAAGAGAATAGTCTCGGAACAACATTTGTGTGTGTGTGTGTGTGTGTGTGTGTGTGTGTGTGTGTGTATACCCTTGCAACTCATGTCTCTAGTAACCCACATCGGAAATAATTTCTCATTTTAACAGGACATTCAGTCATGATTTCATTAAAGATTTAATCTACTCATAAGTATCATATACCTATGACTCAATCACTTTCTAATATAGTTCTCTGAATATATTGATTTTAGTGGGGAGGTGTGCTCTGTGTCTAACACGTGATAGTACAAATTGACTTATTGCACATATTCCAGGAAATTATCTGAATTAGATCCCACAGCCAGCTCCCAGCCCTCCTGCTTAGGATCATGGGTGCAGATCAGTCCTAAGGACATCAATGACTGAGTAAAGGAACAGCAGGGATTTGTGGGCCAACATGTGTCTGAGGTGGAGAAATGTTTGTAACAGTGTCTAAGGTAGCTTCTTATCACATTTTCTTCCAGATCGATCCTCTCAGAGAAGGAAGAAAGTAGCAGAGAGTGAGGGTCCTCCACAGGAAGAAAGTTGAGGAATATAGTTGAGATGGTGGGGAAACATGTCTCTTTGGGATAAATACTCCTTATTCAAGAAGTATCTCCTCCTGCTGTCATAACCCTGGAGCTGCTCTTCTCATGGGGACATCTGTGGTAAGTTGACAGGCAGCTCCTGAGAAAGAATTTCTACCTCAGCATCCACACTGAGTTCTGACACCACTTCTCTGTTCTTTCTGCTGACTCACACAGAGGGTCACTGTGGAAAGGACCTTCAGAGCAGAACTCTCTGTATGAAGCTTCACAATATTACTTCAAAGTGTGGATGGTACTTGTCCCTCAGAGAAGTTTTTAACTAATACAGAGATGACCTCCAAGCAAACCACTTACTCTGTTACTCCTCAGTGTTCTTCTCAGTTCACTTATATAGCAGGGTAGTTAAGCCTCTGTCCACCTGTTTCGCACGTCCTTCCCCTATCTTTTCCCTACAACATCCTACATACTTCCAGGAGCTGGGCACTTCTCAGATGGGTCTATGAGAACCCTGGGATGCTGAGTTCCATTTGCTCTAGACTCCCTTCATCTTGATCCTATGTGATAAATAATCTGGGCCCCTGCTCTTCTGTGTGAGTCCTTGTACTCCCCTCTGACCATTTCACTTACAGTTAGACCTTTTGTTTCTGGAGGATGTAGATAGCAGAGACAATGATGGCCAGGAGCGCCTTTGTGCTGAGCAGCAGAGCTGTGAGGAGTGTAGAAGTACAAGACTGCTCCATTTCTAGAAGTGAAAAAGAATGGAACCATTAGAGGGGAATTAATTGTTAGCATCTCTCAAATGCACTGTATAAGGCTATCTGAACCCATTAAAGCTCTGAAACTTTGAAATTGCATCATGTCTTCCATGTACTGGCTTCCATCCAGAAGAAAACCACAAACCAGAAGAAAATGAGGCTCCTGAAGTGACTGTCCATGACTGCTAGCATCTGGTCCTCACCTAAACTCTATACCTTCAAAACCTTTTCTAATGTCACATCAGCTTGATGAGGTTACAGATACAGATGAAATGAAGTCTTTAACAGAGGTTTAAAAATATAAAGAGAAGGAAAATTTATGAACTTGTAAGTGAGGAAGTCATGAGACAGGACATTGGAACAGAATGACTCCCCGTCTTCTCTTCTTTTTTCTTTAACATCTTTTCATATAGTGTCTGGTTTGGTTAAAGGATTCACCAGATAATGTACTAAATACATACAATTGGATGACTCCAGGGGTATGTGCTTTGGGAGAAGGAAACTGATTTTAAATTCTACCCTATATTTATTTTTTCTGATTATTCTGAAATAAACATGAATGTACTGTTTTTTGGTGGTTCTGGGGACTGAATATAGGGCTCTGTGCATGCAAGGCAAGAGCTCTACCATTGTGCTATATCCCTAGCTCCCCAATGAACAACATTTAAAAGAGAGAATTTTTTTGAGACAGGGATTCACTTTGTAGTTTTGGCCAGCCTTGTGCTCACTATGCAGCCCATAGTCGCCTGAATCTCACAGTAATTCCGCTGCCTCAGCCTTCTGAGAGCAGGATTACAGGTATGTGCCACCATGCCCTGCTTAAAAAAAAAGAGATAAAATTTGAAAAGAAATTGTAATCTGGAGTGGAGCCCTTAGAAGGAATGGTACCATGCCTTCTTGTTTCCAGAGAGCAGAGGACTTCAGGGTAAGATTACTAGTGGCTGTCAACTGCCCATCATGCTCCACATGGCTGCCCAGCACTAGCTCCTTATTGTGGGCACACATGTTCACCAGGAGCCAGGTCATCCAGTTGTAAGCCTCACCTTTGTTCTCTGAGAGAGCTAAGGACATTTCTCCCTGGGACACAATTTCACTCTCCAATCAAGTTAGCTGTAGATTCAGGGAACAGAACATCTTCACCCAGCAGGTGACAGTCACCTGGCCGTCTGACACTGTGGGCTCTTAAGTAATCTCCAGAATGGGTGCAAGTGAAAGACTATAGGCAGAAACTCTGACATTACGATAGTGACAGGTAATAGAGGAAGGACTGAGGAGCTGACCCCCATCATCCTAGCAACACCACCACCGTGGACAGAACTAAAAATGCAACAGTTGCTCAAACATCAAAGATCCACACATGAATCAAATAACTAAGCACAATTCCCAGCACTCAGTGTACACTCAAGGAGAGGCAGCCTTTGTTAGGGTAAAAAGTGGATTCCATAGGATAGTTTTTAGTGTGCATTACTTGGAATGCTGCCATCGTTGCATAATAAATAAAGTTATCACTAGGTACCTAGAAGCTTTGATTGCAGTAGCTGCCCAAGAATTACATTGCTGTTAGTGAATAAGTAAAATTATGACCACAGTGCTACTATCACTGTAGGAGCCTACATGGGAACAGTAGCTGGGTAGGACTCTTGGGAATGGGATTACAAGTGGTTTAAGCCAAGAGGAAAGTGGGAGGAGCCAATTTAGTAGGCTGGAGCAGGCTTGTGCTGGGTCAGTTTCAGGATCATCCATCTCAAACACTGTCCAACAAGTTGACAGTACCATGATAAGAGTCCTCCTGCAAGATGACATGGACCACCTCACAAATGATCTGTGAGCAATTGTCATGAGGGTCCAGCATCAACTTGGTTGTACTGGAGATGTTGTAGGAAATACCCTGTTGTTGGGGTCCATGCTGGTCTGGATGTCACAGCGTTTATTTCCATTTTTGAACCACTTCAGGTGATGTTTTGGGGGAAGAAACCATGAGAGAAACTCACTGTCTGCCCAAGGATGGCCCTTGCCAGTAGGCCTAACACCATGCCAGAGAGGGTCTAGATACAAACAAAATTTTTTCCCAGTTGTTTTCATTTATCAGTACATGCTTGTATTACATAATGATTACATTCTTTGTAGAGAGTTGGCACACAAACATAGTCATCTCGATTTTATTTTTCTTTTCTTTTTTTCTTTTTACACTTTATTTTTTTTTTTTTCTTTTTTCTCTTTATCGGTACCAGGGATCGAACTCACGACTGCCTGCTTGCAAGGCACGTGCTTATGCCGCTGAGCTAAATCCCCAGCCCTTTTGATTTTATTTTTCATTCCCTTTCCATTCCTTCCATCCTACTCCCTCCATGTTTTGAAAAAGATCTATTTTCTTATTTCCAATTATTTATCTCTTCTTTTGCTATTTATTTAAATTTTTTGTACTTCATGTAAGATAAACCATGCATTATCTGTGTTGTGTAACTAATTTATTTCACTTAACATGGTCCTAGGTGCATCCATTTTTCTACAACTGGTGCAATTTTATCTTCTTTATGGCAGAATATTACTCCATTGTATATAAATACCACATTTCATCTCTTGATGGACATATAGGTCCCTTCCAAGATTTACCCTTTTAAGGTGTGCTTCTGTAAATACTGGTATGCATGCATTATGATAATATGATGTCCGTAACCACTAACATCAAACAAGTGACAGTGTAAAAAGCCTTCCGGGATGCTATTATTGTTGCTGTTATCACCTTTGCAGTGGTGGAAATAGGTCCTTGATCATGATAAGCATGTGGTCCACAATTGAACTATGACCATTTCTGTGAATCATCCTGACAAAGCCAGGAAGGTAGTTTCCATAGCCACTTGTGTCATGGCATAGAACATACAATTACCAGCTAGAGAGTGAGAAATGGAACACACAAGTGTAATGTAGGAATGAGGTCAAAGTTCTTTTCTCTGAACCAGGGAGTCTCCATCAGGCTGGCCACAGGACAAAAATTACAGCCAGGTCTCACTCCATGTGTTCCTGTTCCTTACTGGCATATGGTGAAAACATTACCTACTTAGGAAAAGCGTTTATGGAAGCAAATACAGGAGACAAATAATACTGGAACAGTAAGAAGAAGCTGTAATTTGGGTGGTCATCCTGAGACATGGCATCATATCCCAAAACTCCATCCATGAAGCAAGTGGCTTCATTCTCTTCCGCAGACAACAATGAAGATTAAATAAGGCTCAGTGAGCAATTTTGATGGATTTACACAGGAAAGGCTTGGGAAAAACACACTAAGATCTATCCTAATTTAGGCACTTAATACGTTTTTCCAAACATATGGCAGTGCATATGAACTGTGTCAAGTCCTGCATTTGAAAGATAAATATTAGAGAGATGTATTTCTGAATCTAAAAGATTCACTTGGATCATTTTTAACTTAGAAACAGAGATCCCCAAGTATACACTAAATGTAAGGTGGTTAATTTCTTTTTTTATTCTAAAAAGATTAAGATAATAGAACACATAACAAAACAGGTCAGAACGGAATAATTTAAGCAACATAATATTTCACCACAAGACAACCCGACATAACAGTAGCTACCATACTGTCTCTTTCCTTGAAATATTTGAGTATACCTTCATACACTATGGTATCAAACATATCAAACATAAAACCATTCAAGATAATGAAAGTATTACAGGGTATTCAAAACCAACTAACAGAAAATGAACAATGGTTACTATATTATCTCCTTGTACATAAAAATTTTGTTTATATTATCACATATAATAAAATCCAATAAGATACGATATCCAACACGATAAAACCAATGGAGACAGAAGAACAAAAGCTTGGTAGGACTTCAAAACAAGATGGTATTAAATCAGAACTGCTGTTATGATGACTTATGATGACTTGGGGAATCATGATTACCACATACTTGTATGTATTCTTATCATTTCTCACACTAGGGAGACTATACTGTACTTATACGTGTGAGTTTGATTCATTTTACTTAGGAGTATGGTCTCAAGCTGCATTCATTTATTTATAAATATCTCAATGTGATCATTTTTCATACATGAGTAGTACTCCATTGTATAAAAATACCACAACTTTTTTTTATCTATTTCTCGGTTGCTGGACGCTTAGGTTGTTTCCAAGATTTGGCGATTTGGCCATTACCAATTGTGCTACTATAAACATGGGTGCACAGATATCACTGTAGTAGGATGTTTTCAATTCTTCTGGGAATATACCTAGAAGTGGAATAGCTGGAACAAAAGGGACTTCAAATCACAGCTTCTTTTTTTTTAAACTGGTACAGGGGATCGAACTCACGACCACCTGCTTGCAAGACAGGTGCTTATGCTGCTGAGCTAAATCCCCAGCCTCAAATCCCAGGTTTTTGAGGAATCTCCAGACTGACTTCAACAATGGTTACACCAGTCTACATTCCCACCAACAGTGCAGGAGAGTTCCTTTTTCCTCACATCCTCTCCATCATTTGTTGTTGGTAGTTTTCTTGATCTTGGCCATTCTTACAGGAGTGAGATGGAATTTCAGCTTGGTTTTAATTTGCATTTCTCTAATGAGTAATGATGATGAGCATTTCATCATGTATTTATTTGTCATTTGTATGTCTTCTTCTGAGAAGTGTGTATTCATCTCAGATGCCCATTTTTGAACTGAATCCTTGAATTTTGGGGATCTGATTTTTAAAAATTCTTTATATGTTTTAGACAGAAGTCCTTTGTCTGAGGTACAGTTCACTAAGATTGTTTCCCAGTTTGTGAGTTTTCTTTTCACTATGCTGAAGATTTCTTATGACATGCAGAAAGTTTTTAATAAGAGGTAACCCCAGTTATTGATTCTGGGGAGTATTTCCCGTGTGGTTTGATTCTTGTTCATGAATTCTCTACCTACCCCTATGTCTTCAAAGTTTTTACTCAATTTGTCTTCCAATAGATTTAGTGTTTCTGTTTTAATATTTAG